CCTGCAGAAAGTCCCTGTCCCTTCACCCTGCCACCCAGCACGTCTCGATTAGCACTGCTAAATGGCAAGCCCAGAGGTACAGTGAGGGAAGGGGCCCGGGTAATGAACTCCCATTGGTTTCCTTAGCAAGATCACTGCCTTAATTTACGAGGTCTGAGTGAGTTTCATTTCCCCAGTGCACGTTGAGTAATTAACTATTAATAAAAGCATTACTGAGTTAACCACAGGGGCATGTTTAATTCATGGGGCAACCCGGAACAGGACGGTGGCAAGGCTCAGTGGGGGATTCCTCCTAGGGCCAAAAGAGAGCAGCGGGGGGCCTGGCTCGCTAGACCTCAGCCTCCTGTGGTGGGCCATTACTGCTGCCCCTAGGCAGAGGGGCTTAATTGGCAGGAGGGCATCAAAACTGCCTGGCATCCCTCGCAGAGGGTGGCGGTGCAGGGAGAAGACGTGGGACTCTGGGAAAAAGGACTCCTCATTGAGTGACCAGGGTAAGTGACCTTGGACAAACTGAGAGAGACAAACATCTCTCAGTCTTTTTCTGTTTGTGTTTTGTTGTTGTTGTTTACATCTGGAAACAGGGCTGTAAATAACAACCACTTCCAGAGTATAGGCTAAGGAGGGAGGGACTGAAGGCACAGATTGACAAGTGGCAAAGCTTTTGCATGGGCTGTTCATCAGGACCCGAGTGGACACTGCTGAGCTAACAGTAAGGGGAGGGAGAGATACCTGCTCCTTCAAGAGGACAAGGTGGACAATCCCTGCCCCTGTCAGAATGCCTCCTGGGGTCCATGGGCTTTTCAGAAGCCAAGCCACCCCCTTTCCTGTGCACGTCCAGCTAGCAACCGTGAACTTGATCTCAAAGTTCAAGCATCATCCTGGTGACCACCCAACTCTGTGCCTTAGTGTCTGCTCTGCCCTGTGAGTGCTCTGCTTTTTCCTGCATCCCAGTGAGCTCCTCTGTCATCCTGAAGACTAAGTTCAAAAGGCTAGGCCTTTCTCAAAGTGGTTTTCCTGACTCAGATGAGCCCAGACAACTGGTTATGCCCTTCTGTGTCTCCTCCCCTGCCACTGTCTCTTGTCCCCTCACCCATTATCTATCCATTCACCTGCCAATCTATGCATCCTTCTATACATCTATCTATCTATATATCCATCCATCCATGCATCCATGCATCCATCCATCCATCCATCCATCCATCATCCATGCACTTACTCATTTCCCTATCTACCCATCCACCCACCCATCCACCCACCCATCCATCCATCTATCCATCCGCCCATCCATCCATCCATCCTTCCATCCATATCATCTATCCACGTGCCAATTCATCCACCCACTTGTCTATCAATCCACTTACCCATTTCCCATCTGTCCACTCATCTATTTACCCACCCACACGTCCATCTAAACTGTCCATCCCATATCCATATATACAACCAACCACCCAGGCATCACATTTCCTGACTACCTTGTTTTTTGGTTTGAAACTCTGGACAAATGAGGCTTTCCCTAAATCAGAAACTCCTAACTTTTTAGGAGTTAAGTACCCAAAACAGAAAACAGAACACCCCCAAACCAAAACCACACACATGTGCACATCCATGTCCCATGTTGCTCTCCTCTGCAGATTCTTGATGATCCTGGAGCTTGGCTGTGGTCCTGAGGATGGGGACACTATGATACAGTGGGGGGACTGTCTTGAAGAAAATTGCCTACTGGAAGACATGCCTCAATCCAGGGGGAGGCCCACCTCCAGTGACCGAGTAGCACCAGGTAAGGGCAGTTATCCCGCGGGGTAACACTGATGGGCTCCAGAACGGCCTTGTTGCTTCACTGTCCAATCGCCAAGTCCCACCCTTCTCTGTCTCCCCAGGGACACTTCCCAGTAGACTTCCTTCTCTGTCAATGGGACTCTGTCAGAGGGACTGCTGGGTTCTGTGAGGGCAAGGGCGGGGTGGATGTTTTGAAGACCTTCAGGGCTCACACAGGCAGGCGCCTGCAGATGCTCCAGAAGCATTTCCTTAAATGTATTCTGATGGATTTCCTTGTCCCCAACAGGGGGTTTCTTCTCAAACATTAGGAGAAAAGATGGCCCTGCCACCAGATGCCAGGGCCTGGGGGTTGCTGGCCTGCTTCAGGGAAATGTACTAGGTTGCCAACGAAACTGTAAATAACCATGGGAACAGCAGTCAAGCTCATTGGTTGTTATGAAGCTGGGAGGAAGGGGGCCTGGCTGATGTCAGGGCTGTGTGGCTAGGGGGCAGGCAGAGGCTGGACTGGCACTCACTGCTGGTGGTGGGGGATGGGAGCCAGCCCATCTTACTGAGCAAATCCTTTCAAATTTACAACTAGCACCACCCCTTCACACTATTTTTAAAGTCATTTTTATAACATTTGGGGGGAGCACATGTGAGTAACACAACGCACTTGTGGCGGACAGAAGACAATCTGTGGCAGCTGCTTGTCTCCTTCTACTGTGTGGGGCCCAAGGATCAAATGCAAGTTTAGGACCTGGTGACTAACACTTATTTTTTTTTTTTTTTTTTCTTCACAGAGCCATCTCCCCCACTGGAAAGTATTCCTCCATGAAACAAACACCATTAAGAGGTCCCTATGTGCAACCCCTAAATGTTGGCGCTCTGATGCTGGTTGCTCCTCTCCCTTGTGACCTGGATAGGTTGTGATATCAGCAATATGGATACAAAGAGTTAATAGTGCCCAACGCAGTCAGTGGATTTCCATACATCCCTTATCTTCACAGTTGCTCAAAAGATAGAATTATTCCATTTATAGGCAAAGACACAGGCTCAGAGGGGATCAGCAACATACCCAAGGTCACCCAGCCCACAGGGCAGAGGATAGAGGACTTCTAGATCCATGGCATCTGTGAGATTGGTTTCCACAGCCAAGATGAAATAGGTCCACAAATTCTAGCTGTACTGGGCCATTTGGGATTAAATAATCCACATGAAGGGCCAGGAGTGGCCTTTCTGTCTGTCCTCTCCACCCCTGCTCTCTTTCCCTGGGCTGGAAGGACAATGGCTCTACCTTCATGTCCAGCAGTCTGCCACGTGGCCAACACTGCCTGGGTGGCTCATTGGACTACACCAATTCAAGATGATACCTATGATGCTTGCAGGTACCATGGGATGAAATCTCCTGGCGGTAGGCAACTTCTTTTAGGCTACTGGGGTTTTTACAGCACAGGAAGAGACGTATGGGGATGATCCCCTGAGCCCCTAAGGTAGGGAGGGTACCAAAATGAAGATGCAGGTGTACCAGGCTCTCAGCACACCTCTGGCTTACTCTTGCCCACACACCAAGCACAAGCATCTTAGTATATTGGGGCCATTAACCTTCCTCCCACTGTGGGCTCCTGGGAGAGGTGGTGGGCATGTAAGCACTTAAAACTCAGCCCTGGGTCAGCCCTCCCCTTTCTGCTGCTGCAGGAGACCTGGAGCTGGGGACAAACAGTACAGCCTCAGAGACCAGTCACATCCTTAGCTTCCCTCAACCTGGGCAAACGCTGAGTTACCATGGTGACGCTGCAGCCCCCAAGATGCAGTGGTTGCAGACAGCATGTGTGGTTGGAGGGCTCAGGGCTGAGGGTGGACAGTCTAGACCAGGAGGCCAGGCAACTGGGTGGGCTGGGTGAGGGGAGGAGGGAAGGGAGGCCTCCTCTAGGCCTGGCTGGTAATTGCTGCTAAGTGAGGGGCTGTCATTGAACCCAACATGTGAGCGGCGAGGGCCCACTCCACACCCTGTAATTACCGCAGACAGCAGTGCCAGCTTGTGTCCTGGAGAGGGGGGCGGTGCAGAGTAGACAGGAAGCTCTCATCCACCTGAGCCAGTGGGCTGTGCAGTCCTCTCCCTTGCAGGCAGCCTCCCCAGCAACCAACCCCCGCCCCCATCCCATGCCAGGTTCTTTCCACATCATCGAGGCTGGAACAAGAGCATCGCAATCCTGACCTCTGAGCTTGCAGAACCCAAGGCAGGCAGGAGCCAGATAAGGTATTACTCTGCAGTGCTGAGGTCGGCTGGAACTCAAAGCTCATCACAGTTGCAGCAACTTTAAGGGCCTCAGGCAATCCTGGCTGCTCCTGGGCCTCAGTCTCCTGCCAGACTCTCAATTCATAGGGATCCCTCTACAGCGCGGGGTGGGCAAGAACTCAGTTTTGGAAACCAGATTTTACTGGGACATAGCCACGCCCCTTTGTGTCTGTGCCATGCAAGGCTTCTTTCCTGCTTCAAGTTGCAACAGACACCATATGGTCCTCAATGGAAATATTTACTGTCTGTCCCTTCCAGAAGTCTGTGGTCCATGCGTTCTGGGCAAAACCAATGGAGCTCTACTCGCTCCAGCTCTACACAGAGCCCCTGCTGGGTCTTTGCCCAAATCTACACAGATGCCACTGCTGCCAGGCACCCTCTGCTGCCAGGGTTTGGGCAGGGGTGGCAACAGGCCGGGCTGGAACCATAGTGTGGGCCGATGGCGCCACCTGCTGGGAGTGCCGGAAGCACTTCCACAGGACCGACCGCTCCTGCTCCCCACCACAGCAGAGGGATGCTCTGGGAGGAAGGTGCAGCCATCAGGTGCTAAGCCACAGGAGGGCTCAGCCCCACCGCATGGCATGGTCCTTTTGTCTTCCACTGGACCATGATCTACAGAAGTGCATAAGTTGGCTGACATTCTAGAACCAAGTCCCTTCTCACTCACAGCACATAGCAGCCTTGAATCCTTGCCCAACTGCTCAATAAATTCTTTTCTAGGTCTTGGTCTTTTGGTTCTTGACAGTGTTTTAAGAATACATAACATTTAATCTGTAACATTCTCCAGAAAGCCTGGGATAGACATTATCCTCTTTTCTTCTTCTTTTTTTAAAGAGACACACAACCTGCAGTACTGAGAAGCTAAGTCATTCGCTTAAGGACACACAAGGAGCACACAACAGAGCCAGAATGCAAATCTAGTGAAACTAGTGAAGCCTCCAGAAGATGGTACTGAGTAAGTGTTTATTTCTGGTGGTGGGTCCACAGTGTAGCCCCAAGGATGCAGTCTGGACACAAACAGTAGCATGAGCTAAGGGGGCAGGCGAGAGGCACAGGCCCCAGGCAGGGGAAGGAGAGGCTAGGCCCCAGGGCTCGCCTTGCGCTCATGCCTCAGGCAACATTGGGCAGTGGAGGAGGAAATCATTACTTCAACTATAAATAAATCTACTCTGAGGAAGCTGCAGTCCAGGCGATGAGGCCCAGTTTCTCTGGGACTCTTTCCAGAGGCCCTGCAATCTGAACCCAGTAACCCGAGAACTACCACACGAGAAGTTCACCCAGCTCTCAGAGCCAGAGCAACAGTGGAGAAGAGTGGCTCCCTTCACTGCCCACTCAGGTCCTGGAGGAGCCTGGCATTCACTCTTTGGACCAACCTCCACAGGAAAGAGGAGTCCCGCTCCTAGCAGGGTCCTGCAGGGTCCCCAGCCCCCACCGAGAGAGATGCCAGCAGAGCCGACTGCAGAGTGGCCTGTTTCCACGGCTCCCGAAATGGTCACTGTTGCCGCTAGGTCACAAAATACTCATCGTCTTCTTCCTCCTGCTGGCTGCTCTGGAGCAGCAGCTCCAGGTCAGTGCTGGGGCCCAGGCTCTTCGGGAGCTTAGGGCCACCATCACCTTGGGGTAGACACATCACAGTTACTGACCTAGTAGCCTTTTCTGGAAATGACCCTATATTGTCCCAGGATGGCAGAGACATATGGTACATGTCCCAAGCTACAGCAATAGTTGGTGAGAGGTGGCTGGACAGACAGAGGGACAGTCAGTAATACTAAGCCATGGGGAGGAGGCCACCATACCTCTGGAGTGTAGGGCCTTGAGGGCCACATGCAGAGAGATGCCAGAGAGGCAGAGGGCAAAGCCCAGCCAGTTCAGGAGGCTGATCTGATCACCCAGCAGGTGAGCTGCCAACAGCAGGGTGCACACTTCCTGTAGGCAGAGGCAGGACATGGGGTCAGAACTGGCATGACAGGCTGACCCATAGAGCAGAAGTGGGAGCTCTGTGTCCAGGTCACTGGCCTGCAGGCTGCCTGGTGTTACTGAGTGAGATACAGGTGTACAGGTGTACAGACTCCCGGCAAAAGCAGAATGCCATCCAGGCCCTAGACGACGACAAAAGTGTCCCATAGGAGTAAGGGAGTCTGCCATTGCTGGGCACCCATAGATGGACAGCCCTCAGCATGGCCTTGGTAAGAAAGGCCTCTCTTCATCATAGCCAGGAAATCTTATACTCAAATGTTTGCTTTGGGGGCCATTGTTGCAGCATGGGGTCTACCTGTCCAGAGGGAAACTCCTCCACAGACCTGACCAGCTCTCAATGCTGGGACTCCTTACTGATTAACTAGATGTGCTCCAGGCCACTGCCGAATAACCCAAACTGCCAGTGTGGAGCCTGGTGGCGTGCGGCTTGGCCTGTATCCCCAGCTTCATGCGCTGGTTAGAAGGGGCACTTCCTGAGCTCTGCAGGGGAGGTCATGGCACATCCAGGGCCACACTCTGCAACCTCGTCCCGAGCCCTCTCAAGGTGACTGAAGCAGCTAAGAGACGCCCTCACGGGCTCCGGCTAGTGTAGGTCTGGGTCACTTCCCAGTGCGTACCTTAAAAATGCCAGCGATGGAGAAAGTGAGGCTGGATGTTCTGGAGACCAGGAGGAACTCAGAGAAGCCCAAACCAAAGGCTAGAATCCCGCCAAGGAAGAGGCTCCCAAGGACCCGCAGGAGCAGCCCCGTGTCTTGGAAGCGGAAGATCTTCTCTGAGGTGGACAAATGGAGACCTGAAAGCAACAGGGAGAATGGAGGCCAAGGCCTGAGCAGCCCGCGGGCCCTCAAAACTTCTACACTTCTCCAGCATGGTAGGGGTGGGGGAGGCGGCTTGGTCTGCTGATTGTCTGAGGTGGGAAAAAGGGGGGGGGGTGCAGTTACAATAGTCCCATGCAGATGGCCTGAGACTCAGGGACCACAGTGGCACTACAGAGCCCAGGGCAACACAGGTCCCCTATCAGAACAGGGAGAAAGGAATTGAACCTGTGGACAGAGGCTGACTGTACAGGACACAAAATGTATGAATATAGGGCTCCTCAACCTTTACATAATGCGCGTGTGTGTACATATATGTACGTGTGTGCACGAACGACAGACACACATATGTGCTGGAATGGAACCCAGGGCTCACATTAGGCATATGCTCTACCGCTGAGCTACACAGCCCAGCCCAAATCTGGGCCTTGCTACTATGAAGCTATGTATACACTTGGGTAGAGAGATGTCCCCTTTTTGGTTATTGGTTTTCCTACTGAGAGAATGATAGACTGTGACTAGATTGTCATTTCTCCAACAAGCAGTATAATATAATGAATATATCTCAAAAAAAAAAAAAAAAAAAAAAAAAAAAACAAACCTCAAAAATCAAAAAACAAAAAACCAAAAAAGCCCAGAGCAGAGTGTGGTGGCACGTACACCTGTGACCACAAAAACTGGGAGGTGGAGGCAGGGGACTGGCTCACAGAGCAGCTGCACAGGAAGCTCAAGACCAGCCTGGGCTGCACAAGACCCATTCCAAACCAAACCAAACCAAACCAAACCAAACCAAACCACACCTGTAATTACGTGACACAGCGCTACAGCCCCTTGCTCCAGAGCACACATTAGCCTTTGCTTCCTTTTTTTTGGAAACTGTGGCCCCTCCTTAAAGAGCTCCCAGGCTTTCCCACAGCAAGTCCCCGTCCCGTGTCCCCGCCCCCCCATCAGAGGGGTGAGGTCAGTATCCACTGGCCACAGTAGACACAGGTGGGAGCTGAAGGTAGACAAGAATTTTTTGGGGTTGAGGAGGGGGGAGGGGCGCAGAAATTTGACAACTGTTTGCTGCAGGCCAGGAGCCCGGCCATGTGGGGCCATCTTGTTGGTGCTGGGCTTGGCAGTACTGCAGAGGCAGCAGCAAATTGAAGGGAATTCGGGGAAGAGCAACATAAGTAATGAAGGCGCTTGGGGGATTAATTTACCAGAGAAGATTAAAGGGGCTAAATCCATGCAGCTTTGCTAAGTGGCGGCGACCAGGGGCTTTTGGATGAGGTTTGCAGAGCAGGGAACAGGGAGGATGCCTGGGGAGGGGGTGAGTGTGGTATTTGCTACAAGGGGCATAATGAAGGGACAGGGAGAGGTTTAAAAAAGGAAAAGCATGAGGTTCCACACAAGTTTCCTGGACAATGGGGCTGTGGAATCATTTTCTCAGGGAGGCTGGAGACGCTTCGCTGCTTGAAACGTAAATGGATGTGGGATGGAATTTTCCGTAATGACCCTGAGGACAGTTGGGTCTCGGAGAAGGAGGGTAAACAAGGGACAAAGACTAATCCCCCAGCAGAGGAGAAAGGAAGGCAGCAACATCCTGCCCACCTTGCACAAGCCCCTGGCCTTGCCTCTTCTCTGGAACAGCTGTCCATGTACCCAGGCTGTCCCTCAACCTCAGCTGTGGAAGCTGCCACTCTGCCCATACTCCCTGAGCACACATGGCAGCACCTCCTGCCCCTGCTTCCCAGGCTGTCCTGTGTCATCGATCCACATACCCCCCCCCCCCCCCCGCTCATTCTCTACCATCCCCTTTCCCACCCAAGCAGCCCACCAGGACAGACCTTGACTGCTCCCCAGGAGGCATGTGCGTGCGCCGTGGGACAGTGGACCTCACCTTCTGATGCCAGGTGTGGGCACCAAGTCCGGTTTGCTTATGAACTATGGGACTCTGGGCAAGCTTTGCCCCTTGTTTCCTTAATTTCTTTCTTCTGCCAAATAGGGATGAAAACAGTCTTCCCCATCTGGTTATAGGGGGAATGAGAAACTAGTGCACAAATAGCTCAGGTACGCCTGGAATTGTCCTACCCTCTGCACTGACTTCCTGTATTTCACACATAATTTTTCTGCATCCTTGTCCTACCAGATTCTAGTCATTCTGTGTGTCTGTCTAGTCCCAAACCACAGCAGCTGGGGAGGGGCTGGGTTGTGGATCTGGACAACCTCTGTGGCTAACACTGTGCTGAGTTCAGAGCAGTAAAGTGGGATCTGCAGTACTACGGTGCCCAGAGATAGAAGACAGAGCATACCTTCAAATGCGGCAAAGAGAGGGAAGAGTCCCAGAAACATGAGTGGCTGCAGGTGGAACATGGTGTCGATAGGATTCTGAAGGCCTACAGGACAGGAACGGGAGGTTGTCAGACTCGGCCTGGTGGCCTATGCCTACCCGACCTCCAACCCTCCCCAGTGGCTCACCAAGATCAGCTTTCTGCAGAAGCATCTGTGTAAGGGTCCAGCGGATGCCGCCGATGAATGATGCCCCCAGCACCAAGGCAAAGCCCTCCACGTTGAACTGTGTGGACTTATAGGTAAACATGAAGAGGCCCCCAGCGATGAGAAGGACCACCAGGACCAGGGCTGCACGCTAGGAGGGGAACAGTACAGTTCACTGGGGGCCTGGGGGTCAAGCCACACACTAGGAGAGGACAGTGCAGCTCCTTGGGGGCTCCAGGCTCAAGCATGTGCCATATTTGGAGAACCAGCAGCACTTCAGAGGTCCTGGCTTAACGACAGACACAGGGCTGACTGACATACCGCTGGTATGCTTCCAATATACTTATTCTGAAATACTAACGTATTGGTGCCCATTCCGGCTCCAAGTGGCCCCCAACAGAAAACACTGAATTGCTCCATGGGTCCCCAGAGCCCCCGGCCAACGCTGGCCCTGCTACACTTGTGTCTGGCTTTTTGCCATCACTTGTCCCCTCCCAAAGAAAGGCATTTTAAGAGACTTGGGCCAACAGTCTCCGGTCACAGAGTAACAAGCCAGTGCTCAGAGTTCCTCTTTCATCCTGGGTGTCTGCCGTGACAGGAGGGAAGGGGACATGGCGCCTCACCAGCTCCTCCAGCTTGAAGATCAGAGAGAAGATCAGGATGAAGAGCACAGCAGACGATTTGGTCATTGTGTACCTGGAGCAGAGATTCCCACAATGCATGGCTGCAGACCCCCATCCGAAGGCAAGCAGGGTCCAAAGAGCAAAAGAAGCAAGCCAGGGGGGGATGGGAGGGTAGGGTTGGGTGGGGCTGTACTGATATGCCATCTTTGCTGGCAGGCACCTGGGGAGGAGCTGTGGGTCTGATGTCAAGTCTACGGAGCTCTGCTCTCTACCTGGCTGCTGGCAGAGACCAGCTAAGGAAGGATGAGAGAATACAAAGAGAAGTGAGGGGCTGCGCGCTCTGGAGCAAGACATCAGAGCTGGGACTGCTGAGCGGCTGGGTTTGGATGGGTAGTGCTCCACTGCCCGGTGCTCCACTCTGCAGCCCGCCCCCCCCCCCCCACCTCGTGCCTCCTCGGCAAGCAACTGTGGCTGCTCTGTGTGTCCAGTCCCCTGGCTTGCCCTTGCTGCCTGGCAGGCAGGGGCAGCATACCTCCCTGCACTGGGTTATGGGAGAGCTGAGGGAGCGCGAGGGCTGGTCCCAGAGACTGATGGAGTAGTTGGCCCATTGCTGGCCGCACAGACTGCCAGCGGGACTGAGCAAGTGAGCCTGGCCTGCACGGGGGTGAAGGGTGTGGCCAGTACTCACAGTGACACAGTGATGTAGAGAAAGCTCCAGTTGGACAAGCCCACATCAAGTGCTGTTGCCAGTGCTGTGGGGACAGAGGACACCCAACCAGGGCAGTCAGTTGGCAACGTGTGGCTGAGGCGCCTGAGGCCCTGCTTGCCCTTCCTTTCCGCCAAGCAACTCCAGGTTAACACCTGACCAAAAGGGTCCATCCTGACTGGCTAGGCCTGTCAGTCTCTTTTGTCAAATAATTTAAACAGCTCCAGACAAGAGTATTAAAACCGATCCTGCTCAACTGTTCATGGGGCACCTGGCCCTCCACAACTAGCCCAGCCTGCCAACTCCTCTTCTCTCCAGTCCCTTACAGGCAGGGTGCTCCCCTTCTGACTTCACACTCCCAGGGCCACAGGTTCCCATCCACCCTTCAGGACTTGCCCACTCAAGACTAGTCCTAGGAAATCTTTCAGCCCAACCGAGCACGACCACCACGGTGAGGCTTCCGTTTTGCACATGGTGAAGCCCACTGAGGGCGGCGCGAGCCAGCAGAGATAGGGATGCTGCCTGCTTTGCTTGCATGCTTTGCTGAGATGCAGCAGTGGGAGAGGGGTGAGGAGGGAAGGGGGCAGGTAGGGTGTGGCCTCAACGTCACAGGGCTCCTCTGGTTTCCGGCTAGGCTCTCTAGCAGCCCCTACACACTGGACCTACCTGTGGGGGCCACTCTCCTGAGGTAGTCAGTCCAGCTGAGCACCACGCGGGCCCTGTGGCTGGAGCACTGAACCAGCGCTCTGGACAGGGCCGAGAAGAGGAAGATGACGGCCAGGTGCAGCATGGTCATGAAGAGGGGGAAGTGGAAGCTCTGTGGGACCCAAAGCAGAGGCGGGGATGGAGATGCCACACAGCCCCTCTATCTCCTCCCTATGGAGGCCGGGTCCAACCCAGTGCCTCCCCACTCCCTCTGGTGGCAGGAGCTAACCCAGCGTTCTGCAGCAGGTACTCAGCCACAGAAGGACCCTTGGAACAAGGGGCTAGTCCCTACTGTGGAGGTCATACAGGGCAGTAGCAGCCTGGGGCTCGATCCTGCCCTGTTTTACCATGATGCTTAGCCCTCTCCGGGCCAATGTCCAGGAAATGCCACCATGACCCAATACAAACGTACCAACTACAGCCACCTTCAGGCCAGTCGCTGCACTGGCAAGGCCCTAGTTACCTTCGTCAGCCATTTGTTGTAGAAGGTGATGCCTATAGAGAAGCAGTAGTAGAGGAGGACCAGGCCCAGCGTGAGCACCGCCTTCCACACAAAGGCCAGGTCAAGGGCCCACCTCCCCATCCGTGGGTCAGCAGCAGGAGCTTCTCTTGAAGACGGTTGGCAGCAAGACCCAGCAGAGCTGTACCCGGATTTCAAAGGGCGGCTCCCCTAGCTGGAAGAGTCCTCTTCACCTCCATGGCGTGCCATGTGCCGAGCCCCAGACGAGTCCTCACCTAAGGGGCTGATGGCCAGAGCCAAACTGTTCCATGGCTGGCTGGACACAGAGATCACAGGGCCCCAGCTCTGCTGCTGGAGAGAAAAGGGAGATTGCAGAGGCCATGGGTACTTGGAACTCTAGTGTATATTCAAACTGCCTGTCACCAGTTCCCACCAAAGTAACCTTTCAACAGGTAAGTGTGAAGTTGCCAGACCTTTCTACAACCCTTCAGCAGCCCCAGTTACCTTCGGTGAGGCCAAAGCCCTCCTGGAGTTCGAGGTCTAATGGTCCAGCTGGCCTCTGCCAGTCTGTCCCGGAACAGAAGGGACTGGGGGTGGGGGGGTGGGTTGAGGGGGGGAGTAGGGGGTGGGGGAGGCCCAGCACACCCAGGCCACCCTTCCATTCTTCCTCTTCTTCAGGGACCTGGCTACAGGCCACCATTGTTCTACTTTTCTTTTGCAGCAAATGAGGAATGTGATTTGAGTAGACCTTTTTTTCCTTTCAGTGCTGTACACAGAACCAGTGCCTCTTGCTAGGGGCCATGCTACCAATGAGCCATCCCCCATCCCCCTGAGTGATGTCGCTGTCCCTTGTAAGGCTGCACTCCGCAAGGCACTCACACACACATGGCATTCCCTATAGTCTCCTTTTGGCCTAACGACCCCATGATAGTGTGTGTATGGGAGTCCAGGGGACTTATCAGGTCTTGAGGAGCTAAAGTGGACCAGGTGTACCTTGCCCTGGTCTCCAACAGCTACTCCTAGAGAGGAGATGCCGGCAACGCGGTGAGTGCCCTGGGCAAGTCTTGGCTCTGCGTGGGTGAGCCTTAGAACTGTTAGGTGTACTATAGTGCTTTCCTTCCCATTACACTGAAATGCTAGCTCCTCTGGGAGCCTTCCAGCGTCATGGGATCAGACCTTTTGCCTTCCAGCCTGGACAGTCCACTGTGCACCCTGGAACCTGTTATCACATCTCTTTCCTGAGGGCAAACTGGGCTGGCTCTGGGCTTTGCCAAAAGGACTCCTGGACTGTGGTTATCTGCAGAGGAGTTTGGAACCCTGGGTGGCGACCTGGAGGAAGCTCCTGACACTCAGTGAGCAGGGACTACAAAGACTGTTTTGCACTCTGAGTATCTCTGATATCCAAAAAGGCAGAGAACTCACTTCTGATTTCTGTAAACACAGTTTTGCAGGGCTCTACCATTCACTGAAATTGCTAAGGATACTATGTGTGCTGTCAAAGTGGAACCAGGGTCTCCATTCTGGAAAACCCCTTTGCTGACAACTCACATCTCTGAGGCTGCTGACATGGTAGCTGTCACTCTGACAGATGAAAGCTTTTATTTCATCATTAATTACCTTTCTTTCAACTATAGTTTGCAGGTTAATGAACAAACTCGTTAAAAAACATGGAGAATCCAGGGGAGAGGCACTACCCTACTGGCCTAATGCAGCCTTATATTTTGACACACGTACTGCTGGCTAACATTTCCCTAGCACGCAGCTTGTTGCGGGTTCCCATGAGTTCTAGAGGCAGACCTAACTGCTGACTGGGTCTTAGTGTCTTGTTTACACTGCCAGATAGTTGGGGACACAGGCTCAGACCTAGTTCAAACGGACTTCCAGGTCTAGGGCTCTGCAGCCTGGCACTACTGAATCTTTCTGGGAGAAGCCAGTCCTGTGTACTGCAATCCATTAGCAAATCCCTGTCTCTACCTATGGGATGCCACAAGTATCAGGTCCCCAACCCTAAGTTGCAACAGCCAGGCTGTGTCCAGCAGTTACCTTGTGGAGCTGGCCTAGCATGTAGGGGGCCTGGGTCGAGTCTCCAGCACTGCAGGAAACAAACACACTATGTTCCCTGTGAGCCACTGCCTCCCCTACCCTGGAAGTGGCGGAGCATGCTACATGTCAGGACAGCCCATTCCCTTTTCTCAACTTACTGGCCCACCTACTTCTGATCAGTCCCTACGTGGCCACCATGGTGCTCTTTGTTCACTGTTCAAGCCCGCCTTTCCTTCAGAGAGCTTGTCCAGCTCCCCACCTCTAGGGGACACCATGCAAACAGTCACCTATTCTATCCCCAAACACAAAAGCAAGCCTCAGCTAGAAAGGCCTCCAGGGAGCATACAGCCACTCACGCCAGGTGTCACCATGAAGCTTGCCTCACACTGGATATACAGATGTGAAACCTCTAAGATCCTCGCCCTCACTCTGTGGAGAGGGAGAGCAGGCATGCAATCGCATCTGTCCAAGCAAGTAATTCAGTCCCTCTTTACCCAAGAAACAGCAGCTACTCAGGGCGGGGCGGGGCAGCGCTCTAGCACCTGGTCGCCCTCTCCCACCTCAGCTGTAACACGGGTTCTGTAGCTTAGTGCCTCAAAGCTCGGGCTTTAACACCACAGGTGTGAGCAAACCCTCTGTGCCCACCTCCTTGAGATTCCGAGTTCTCTGGTCTGTGAGGACTCGGTTTCTCTAACCATATGCTTTCCGGGCAAGGTTGTCATTGGCACCACTGATCCATAGTCACCTCACACAGCACAGCTTGCCAGTGCCAGGCCCGCTCCGCTCCCTCACCTCAGTCCGTCAGGCTGTTCACTCAGGCCACAGCTACTCTTTCCCTGTCACCTCTTCCGGGCCAAGTCCCCGTGACTTCCTCACGAAACTGACCACTTCCTCCTCAGAGACCTATTGGGTGCAACTTCTCGAAGTCTCTGGAGTCTTCTGCTTTCTGGACAACTGCTTGCCCAGTGCCTTCTCTCCAACTCGGCCAATCAGAACTGGTCCCTGGGTGTGTGTGTGTGTGTGTGTGTGTGTGTGTGTAAAATCCAGCTTATTTTCTGCTTTCATCCCCACCCCACCAAGACCACCACCCCAATCTTCCTGTGAGAACAGAGGAACCTAACAGCCATTTAGGTAGTTCCAGCTGGACAGCTCAACCTCAAGGTGCCCCAAGGAGCTAGCTTAATATTCTTCAGGTCTCTGTGCTACTCTGAAGTCACTTAGAAATAGTCATCCTAACAACTGTTTACCTTGGCCAAAGGCAGTCATCGCTGAGGCCATTGCTGTCCCCTGCATCCCTCATACCCTGCCACCTCCAGTTATTTGTTGTCCCACTGACTTTTTAACCCCTACTTCTCCACCACCGAAGTCTAAGCCACAGTTGCTTTTCACCTACTGCCTGCACTTCAGAAAATGCCGCATGCTGGTGTTAGGGTTAGCGCTGTCAACCTGACAGTCACCTGGGAGATGGGCCTTGGACCACACCAGTAAGAGATCCTCTACATCAGGTTAACTGATGTGAGGAGACCCATGCAGTTGTGGGCAGACCCTCCCGGACTGCATAAAGAGGGGAAAGGGACCCCAGCACACATTCAAGGCTCTGCTTCCGGGCTGTGGCTGCGATGCAGCCAGCTGCTTCAAGTTCTTGCTGCCCTGACTTCCCCATGATGCACTGAACACAGAATTGGGAAAATTAAGCTCTTCCTTCCTTAAGTTGCTTTTGTACTCTACCACAGCAACCGGGAAAGAAAGTAAGACAGCCGGCTTCAACAGACTGGAGACCCTGGGCTGGGTCTCACAAGTCCTCTTTGGATCCCGCCTGCCAAAGCCTTGCAACCTCCATGCTCAGCCGTGCGCCCAACACATCAGCGTGTCCTCCCCGGTTACCTGATGCTCTCGGCTGGTTCCTGTCCCCCTTCCCCAGGGCCCCCACTGCGCGTGGCACTTCCCACCGCGTGACGTCTGTGTTTGCTCACGTGTCACCGCCGCGCCTGCCCGGCAGCGTCCGTCTACTTTCCCCAAGTGCTTGGTAAAGACCAGGCGGACCGGCCCAGGGCCACGAGAGGGTTGGGGAAACTGAGGCCCGGGACCGGCGGGAGCACAGGGGACCGCCCACCGCACGCCCACTTACCTCCGCCCAGGCGCTCGCTCCTGAGACTCCTGCCGGAAGCGCGAGCTGAGCACTGGGCCGCAGAAGGCGAGACTTCCGCCGGAAGCCGGCGAGGGAAGGTGGAGCCAGAGCATCTTTCTCTAGCTAAACCGGCCACAGCTGGCGTTGCAACACGGTGCCTCTGTATCTTTCCCTAAACTAGTGCCGGGAATAAATCACATATACAAATAACTCTCTAGTGTGCTTTTCTTCTGGGACCTCAAGCAGCTGGGAAATGATGTGAAGACCATTAAATAGAAACGTAGAAAGTCTGGGCAAAGTAATAATGGACACTTGTGAAATTACATATTCCTATACATTTGTGAGAATTATTCAATAGGTTGAATAGGTGAAGATCATCCCAAAGGAAATGGGACCCGAAAGGAAGGGGTGAGGAGAGCGTACTCTTATTGGGGGCCCAGGAAAGCAGGTTGCAGGAACGCCAAACTACCACACCCATATTTGATTCATTTTAGGTGCAGGGCACGTGGGCAAGAGAACCGCTAAGCCATGCAAGCTAGGGCTGCAGATCCAAGCTGGCCCAGTTCTCTGCTATTGCTCTTCTGGGCTCTGTACTAAGACTGGCTGCATACAGGGATCCTTGCACATGACTTGGCTGGGCTCCTGGTTCGGAGCAGAAGGCTCAAGGCCAGAGTGTAAGCTGTGCTTTGTGTGCAGTGTTGTTGTAGGCCGCTGCCAGCTGGCACCACGCAAGCATTAGTTCATTCAGTGCTTCCTGAGACCTACAACGGTACCCATCTCAGCCCAAGGTCTTGGCTCCACTCAACCCTCAAGGTCTGTGTTGCATGCACTTTCTATGCCTTCTGAAAGTGCCTGTCTTCACCCCCTTCTGACAGTAGCAAGAGGAAGCAGTTATTTTCATCACTGCCCCCATTCAAGCCTCCCAGCTACCAAGGCTGCTGATGGGAGCAAGAGCTTAAAACACCAGCTGGAAGGCTGGGCACCAAGTACAGGCCGCACACCGGGTGCACAACATGTCTTCTTTGAAAGGCACAAGTACTCGAGCTGTTCCCTGGCTGTGTCCCTGGCAGGGAAAAGAGGGAGGATGGGATCTTGGGGGTGTGCAATATGCCTTTCCGCGTTGTACCCAGCAGGACTGAGCGAAACACTCTGTCCTGGTACCACAATCTGTGAGCATCCGTAGCCAGCAGGTGTGAGTAGTCTGTGTGCATGACGCAGCAGGGTAGATGAGGAGCAGAGAGGAAGGGTTCCTGGGAGGTGGCTGGGAGCGCTCCAGATGCTCCCAGGCACAATGGAATGAAGGCTGTCAGGTGACTTCCTACCCTTGGGGCGTGGAGCAAATGCAGAGGAGCAGGCGTTAATAGGAGTCAGTCATCATGAAAGAGTATTTATTGAAAACACGGTCACTGACAGGAAGCTCCTGGCTGCTCTCTGGTTACACTCCTAGCTCATGACCAAGAGCATTACGTTTTTGCACTCAGATTTTACCTTCCCTTAAACATTCTAACCTAGGATAGGATGATCTTATATAAATATATATACACGTCTGTATAAGTATGGCCTATAGTAGAGAAAATATATAGTACACTCTTCGTTGGGTAGTACCTCCATGCCAGGCTACCAGTACTTAATGCCACCCTGTTAACATGCGTCCAAGGAGAGAGGCTGTGCGTGTACTTCAAGTGCTACAGCACCAGAGAAGGCCGTGGCACAGCTGTGGCCCTAGCCGCTTCTTGAAATCATGGCTAATGGCAGAAACCACAGTGCCAGGAAGGAAAGAAAGGGAAGGCAAACTGCCCCGAGTCTGGGGGCAAGAGGGAAGCAAACAGAAGGGCCTGTACCTAAGGGGCATGAGAATATTCCTCCTCAGCAAGGAAAAGAGAAATGGAGGGGGAGAGCTGGGAGGCCTCAACCTGACTTTCCCTGCAGTGCTCCTGGAGCCAAAGAGAGCAGGGCTCAGGGTAGAGGCCTCTGCCTGGCCAGGATGAGACCAAGTGCTTGGGGAAGAGATTGCTACCTGTCCTGATACCTGTGCAGGCTAGAGAGGGGGATACCTCTAGAGACAGAGATGTTAGGGCCAACCCTGAGGCAGCAGCATCTTGGCACAGGATGAGACTGGAATGAGCCCTCAGAGACCTATTAAGCAAAAGCACAGGCCCGTCCTTGCTGAGCAACCTGAAGAATAGTCACGCCAAGGCTCTCGCCACTCCCAGTACTTCAGTCCCCTTGGGCAGCCTTTCCTCGGTCAGCTGCAGCCCATATGGGTTCTCCAGAAAAGCAGAGGGAGAGGACGGCTGTCAGTAAGTCCAGATCCAGACGCAGACTCAGGGTGGGAGGCAAGAGCATCTTGAGTTCACTCCTCCAGGCCCAACCCCAGGCTCTGTGGTGCTGAGGAGGGCAGCATGCCCTGACTTCATGACTCCTAGTGAATGGGGACCAAGAGAAGCTCTGGGTCCCACTGGGTTTGAGTCTGTATACAAGTAGAGGGCAAGGCACAGGTTGCCAGTGTCTCTCCTGACCCAGTCCCTTCCCGCTCATCCGTAGTGATAGACGAAGTCATAGCTGCTGGGCTCCTTGGGGACTGGTGGTGGTGCCTCTGGAATCTGGATGTTCTCCAAGTCCAGAAGCCGCAGCTTCATCTCCATGCTGAGCAGCGTATCCAGGTCACTCTTGGTTAGCTCACTGGACATGTCCTTCCCCAGGAGGGCACTGAGTCCGTCAATCCAGATGCAGTACTGTGGGTAAGGTGCAAATGTCACACAGTGGCCCTAAAGGCTGCAGGGGGACTCATGGCAGTGTTGTTTGGTTCCATGCAGAACATGCAAAACTCATAGGAGACAAGCGCAAGGACAGCTAGATGACTGTCCCTACCAACTGAAAGAATTTCATGGGGAATTTATGTGAAACTTTAAAAACCATCAGGAAATGTGGTTTACAATGCAATAAGGAATACGAAGAGATGGAGACCAGTCCTGGAGCAGTGAGAAGAAATGGGAGCAGTGAGCACACTCAATGAAAGCAGAAGGAAGCAGACGGGGACCCAGCAGTGCTGCTTTGTTTTTTTTTTTTTTTTAAAAGTCAATTATGTTAAAAGAATTTCTTTAAGGGAAGTACAAAAGAAATTGACATAGCTTTCATGGTGGAACAAGCTTATAACATCCAAGCACTTGGGAGATAAAGGAAGGAGGATTTAAGGCTAGCCTCAGCTACACAGTAAGTCTGAGGCCAGCTCCAGGCTATATGAGACCCTGTCTCAGATAAACAAAGCATCAACAAAAAGCAAGCCAGAAGCTCTCAGAATGCAATGGTACAGCAGACACTGTGCTCTGCCAATCCCTCTGATACTGTTTTCCTATGTCTTTGCCTTACTCACCGGGCTCTGTCACCCTAACAAAGTCCTACTGGCCCCAGTACCTGCTCCTTCCGAAGCCTGACCCGTCCCAAGTGCTCCATGACGGGCGCTCAGTTAACAATGAATTAGGTGAATTGGGCAGTGTCATCTTCCTGGGCTACAGGTGAGCTGAGCTCCCTTGTTAGGAGGAGCACAGCCTAGCTCCACAGCCTGACTGCATGTGCTCCTTGTAACTGGGATTCAACTCACCTGGGAAGAGTGACTTCCAGATTACAAAGAGGAAAACCATCCCCCTGCCAAGCCTAACTATCTAATATCAGCCAGCTGTTCCTAAGGAGTAAGGTAGAAGGCTGGGTGTGGTGGCATACACCTTTAATCCCAGTCCCGGGAGGCAGAGGATCTCTGTGAGTTCCAGGCCAGCCTGATGTACATATCTCACACACACACAAAAAAAAGTGGTGAGTCCAACCCAATGGTAGAAGGCCCCACAGACCACAGACTTGGCAATCCATTGCTGCCCCTGCTTTCAGGGAGACACTGCTGTGCTGGCCACACCTCCTCTCTGACTGAAGAGTCACAGTTAGGGCACTGCTGTTCAAAGCAGTGTGGCACAGTGCTTACCTCATACTTATTAGGAGCGATGAAATTCAGTGTCTCATCAGGGTCATACAGGATGGAGAAGGCCAATTCCAACACCTCCTACAGAGAAAAAGTTTGAGGGACTTGGAGCAATGATCAGTTATGATGTCACCGAGGTCCCTTGGCACGCACCCAGGTGTGAGTTCACTGACCGTAACTCACCCACTCCCTGACACAGTCACACCTAAGAGGTGGTGGCAGCTTTTAAAATTTGAACTCAGCATGGTGGTACCTGCCTGGATCCCAGCACAAGGGAGGTTCAGGATCTCAAATGAGTTTGGGCTGCACGGGGAGACCCACCCGCCTCAAAAAAGCAAACAAAAAGAGTTGCAGCACATTGCATTTTTAACATGCAGAACCTCAAATGTCAGGAGCATACAATACACCACCCTGTTTTTATCTTATATCCCAAGATGACTGATGACTGGCTTCCTCTTTCTGTGGTGCTGTACTCAGCGCCAAAAAGTCCTCAGAGTTAAAAAAAAAAAAAACCAACAAAAAACAAATTACTGCCAAGCTGACAGACTGAGCATCAGGAAAATAACTGCAGTACAAAGAACCACATGTGATCGGCTTAAACCCATGAGCTCATAAGAACGCAAAAAACACAAAATGGAGACATAAAGACTGGTCACCATTGTGCAGTATGGGGAAACAACTCGCTGCAGTTATACAGACTGGTTCTATGAAAGGAGAGTCAAGCTGTTAGCTTTTTCCATAGACTACCAGAGGGAAGCCAGCAGTAGAAAAAGGCAGGTTTCTTCACTGAGAAGTGGTCCAGCTCATTAGTAGACGGGATGCTCCAAGTCTGCAAACCCTAGCTACTGAGTGGCTAGAGTCTGCTGACATGACAGAGCACCACCCAGCCGTTATGGGCCTCCTGATAGGCCCCACTGCCATCTAGGATATGGCCATGCCAGGGCAAAGTCAAACCTAAACCAAATCAAACCTCTAGGTCCCTGTGCCAATTTACAGATCGGGGACAGAAGAAAAGCACACAGAGACAGTCAGCAAAACCCAGACTCTAGGAAACGGCCACATAAGCAATATGGTCTATTAAACTAATAAACTACAAAGACGGGAAAA